AATTAATCAATGGAAAGTGTGAATTAATTTGTTGGTGTTTTCACTATTAACCATTATAGTTAAAAGTGAGAACTTTTTATATTATTCATAGTAAATTCAATAAAAGTAGAGTCTCAATTAAATTCTACTAGAGTCTCAATTAATTAATCAATTAAAGATAATTATCTTTAATCAAAGTAGAGTCTCACTTATTGACAAAAACCTATTCAATTTAAAGTTTGTAACTTTAATAAAATTAAGGATCAATTATAATTAAAAATACTTTAACTCATTTCATTAATATGCATGTAGATTAAACATCATCCTAACTAGCTACAATATAAAAATAATTACTTTTACTTAATTTAAAGACAAAAGATATAGATAAACATAAATTACAACAATAATTAAAAGAACAAGAAATTTATTCTATCTAACCTCAAAATCTATGTAAGAAATTACACTAGAAAAATAACAAAAAAAATAAAGGGGAGGACATGAAAGATGGTGGAGAATATAAAATTAGGTCTCCCAAAGGGTTCCTAAATTCTTTTTATGTGTTTTCTTAAGTCTCTTTATATAAAATTTAGATTGGATTTTGTTTCGGGTTTTATTTTTTGTAATCTTCTTTATAATCTTCTTTATAATCTTCTTTATAATCATGTAATATCTTCTAATTATCTTGTAACTAAATTCAATATCTTCAAGATATATTTGGTTGCTAGAAAGATTTAAAAATATGTAAGAAGATTTTGTCAGATTCCAAAAGATTTGACAATTATTATTTTTTGATGTTTTCTTATATATTTGTCTCAAAATATCTTTTATCATAAATTCTTTTGAATTGTCAAAACCTATTTATGAAAAAAAAAAACTACAAGGTTTAATTTTTTTTACTCGTTCCTTCTTCCTAACTTTGCTAAGTTCAATTTGCTTAAGCTAAACTTCTTCACTTTTTCATTCTTTTCTTGTCTTTTACATGCAATGTTTGGCTTGATTTTTTGTCGTTTTGATTAATTTTTATTATTGAATTTATCTTTAAGGTATCATGAAGCTTTAATCAATTAATTTCTACACCTTCATGACCTAAACTCAGCTACAACTACACTAATACACTTGAAAATATCCAAAGACCATTTATACAATTAAAATGTTTTTTTAACGTGTTTTTGTATCTCAAGCTCAATAAATCCAATCATAACAAATCTTAATTAAAATTATCTTTGAAAGCACAAAAACCAATTAAAAATCTAAGATTAAAGGTTAAATGAGAGCATAAAGATGCATTCATCATACCCCATACACTTATCATTTTGCATCCAAGGCAAAATTTATTAATTTCAAATGTTTATTTCGATTCAATTTTCATATCAACATTAAACCAAAGGAAAATAACTTCAGTAAAAACTATCAACTTTATAAATCAAATTGTCATTAATCATTGCCAATGAAAAAACTTTATTTTAAATAAATGAGTTAATCTTTTGAATTTACCAAAAAATCAAGTTTGAAAGGAATCACAAGTTAAAATGTATAGTTTCTCACTAATGCTCTCTTAAGTGTTTAAGCTCACTCAAATTACTCATGTAGGTAAACACTCTTATAACTTAGCAAAATTCTAATATTCACACACTTTTGGAAAAAATACATTCAAAGATCATGAAAACTTTTCAAAGATTGTAATGTGACCGAGACAAAGGTAGAAAAATTTTAAGATGTAGAGGTTTAAAAATTTGGATAAAAAGAATTATAAGGAGCAAAGATTTTGGAAAAACAAATATATTATTTTCTGTGTCATTCTTGATGAAATAATTATTTTTTTTCTTTCTACATTTCGTTTTTCACTTCTTTTTTTTACTTCTCTCTCTCTTTTTCTTTCCTTTCACTTTTTTTATCATGATCTTTCATCGCATTTTATTCCTTTTTCTACTTATTATTATGGTGAGTTACTCACTCCTACCCTTTAAGTATAAGTCATTTCTAACACAACCCACTAACTTCTTTCTTCTTAAGGTGAGGAAAACATGTTTTTCTTCTTTTAAAGGTTTTGCAATGTACTTAAAACAAGAAAAAAAGATTTAGAAGAATTGTCAATAGATTATCACGGTTTTTTATCCAATAGGTAAAAACAAAAAATGTCTCAATTACTATGCATGTGTCTACTGTAAGTTGCAAATAAAAGAATCAAGTTAAATAGAAATAGCACATGGTGATCTATCCATCACAATTACGCTCAAAACTCAAGACTTAAAATTCTTTCGCAAAAGATTAAATTAAAGTATTTCTTAAATTAACTTAATTAACAATATATAACTTTGAATCAATCAAATTTTACTTCTAATCAATTCAACAATCTATTTAACAATAAACATGACTTCTATTTCAAAATTATGACATTTTGAATTACTGAATGAAATTTTAAAGACCAATGTTAATATATTTTTTATTAAAAACAAGAAAATATTTTTGGTAGATTTCTTACGAGACATTGTTTAAAAATTTCACTGATAAAATTCTAATGTAGTCAACAAACTTAAAATTCTTATCTTTCGTAAGTAGAATTTTCTCCGCTATAGTACTTTAATAAATTTTCTAAAAAAATCACATTTTTTTGGATGAAAAAAAATATATATAGAAAAAAAAAACAAAACAAAAACAAAAATCCTAACGTCTCTCTCAATTATTTCAAAAATGTGAAAATGACTGGTGCTGCGAAATATAAGTTCACTAAATTTTATTTTAATTTTGCATATTTTCTTTTCTAGTATTTTTTTTTTTTGAGCAATGAAATGCTTATTTTATTTGTAGTTGATTGTTTGACATTGCTTCTACCAAAATTGTCCGTGCAAGGTGTCCTTCTGTGAAACAATACCCTCCCATACATGACTTTTTTTCGTACAGGACACAGTTCCACTAACAGTGGGAGCGAACAACGTCAAACATCTATCATTACAGATAAGGCCAATGAAATCATGGTTCAGGAAATTTTGAAGATAGACATGCATCTACAGCTTCAGCAACAGTAAGAAAAACCCATTTCTTTCCAATTTTATCCACAAAGTTTGCCACTTTGAGCTTGTAAATCACTAGCCACCTGGGGTTCACCATGGCCAACTGCAAAAGCACACACCAAAACACTGTTCAATTATGCAGTTAAGCTGAGAAATCATTACAATATCTTATGCTCTAAGATTAAGATCAGTAGGTGTTCATGATCTTGATTAATCTTCTGATGACACGTATCCGGGTTTTAAATTTATGAAAGAGTTAATAAAATTTGATTATGTGTCAAAAATGAGATGATGATAACAATTTCTGTCAAGATGCATATTCATGACAGACTGACCTGTACGCCACGCGAAAACAACCTCTTATGCAGTTCCTCCAGTACTAGAATCCCAGAAGTATCAACATTCATGAGATCTATCAAAGACAATTGAAAAAAGATGATCACAAGGTTATAATAAATTCCATGAAATACATTATTATGGTCATCATCAATTCTGAGACTCACTGCCCATGTCTAAGATCACTGCATTGACCCTTCCCTTGGCAAGTTCGTTTTCTTCTTCCATTACCCACTTCAGTATTCTGGAAAGAATTAAATAATTTTGATTTCAAAGTTTGGTAATTAAATTTATAAAACTCTCCAAATAATGTTTTAAATTAGGTGATTGCCTTTCTCTAATAAAATTAGCATTTGCAAAGCAGAGTGAACCAGAACTTATGCGAATCACCAAAATGCCTGGAGTGCTTGTGGCCATAGGATATTGACTAACATCACAGAAAGCTTCTGTTCTTGGAACTCGGCCTAAAACTTCTATCCCTGGTCTGATTGATTGTATCAGTATCTTTGCAAAGGAGATTGAGACCTGCACAAACAAACTTCACACTCAGATACATCATCAATTATTGATCCCACTCTTCACCTTTTTACCTTAATTTGATTTAATGGATGAATAATGAAATGACCATAACTAACAAGTGTTCTAGGAAGTGATTACTGAAAAGACATAATTCTTGGTAGATAGGGGACAATAAATAATATTTGGGTGAAATATTGATTTCTTCCTGTTTATGAACTAAATTTGTCTCAACTAAATTAAAGGAGAGACATACGCTAAACAGCTCAAAATTGGTAGTGGATTTGGATTACAANATATTATTTGCACATATAAAATTTGATGAAAGTAGAACAAAAAGGTTATGTAATAATTTTCTGTGTGCAAATTATATTATCTGAACCTTGCTCGATATTGTTTGTATATCAGTTTTGCAAAGTAGTGCTGGTATACCTTTATAATTGTCTCGTTTTAATATACGTTGGCCCAACAGGCCCACTTAGCCCCTAAACTATCATTGCATTTTGGAGATACTAGTAATGTCGACGTGTGCCTTGTTCTTCATCATTTTTTTTTTCTTATTGAAAAGATACCAAGAGCTAAAACAGATGATTTGCAACACTGTTGAGTTGTTTTTGTTTGGCTTAACTACTAATTTTTGCTGGTTTTATTCGGTTTTTTTTTTAATTAAGTCTCATTTTATATTAACATGTGACGACATTGAACTAGTAGGTAGAACAAAATAATTCACAAAAAAAAACTAAAAAGCATATAAAATAATTCAAAGATAATAATATCCGTACCAAATTTGATAAAGTTATCATTAAAACTATTAAAATAAATTTATTTATTTATAAAAACTTCAATATTATTCCGAAAGTAGTTAAAAGATTAGTAAGAATAAAGATAATCTAAACATCGTCTTATAACAAACACAGAATTGGTCCTAACCAATTAGTTCTTATACAATTTATATAAAATGGTTAATAAAAAAATAATAAAAAGATAAAAATAAATAAAAGATTAAATAAAAAATTATAAATAAAAGAAATAAATAAAATTTCAAAAGGATCAAAGGAAATAAAAATAATATTCCAATTGTTCAATTAATTATTATTTTTAAATTAATCAATGGAAAGTGTGAATTAATTTGTTGGTGTTTTCACTATTAACCATTATAGTTAAAAGTGAGAACTTTTTATATTATTCATAGTAAATTCAATAAAAGTAGAGTCTCAATTAAATTCTACTAGAGTCTCAATTAATTAATCAATTAAAGATAATTATCTTTAATCAAAGTAGAGTCTCACTTATTGACAAAAACCTATTCAATATAAAGTTTGTAACTTTAATAAAATTAAGGATCAATTATAATTAAAAATACTTTAACTCATTTCATTAATATGCATGTAGATTAAACATCATCCTAACTAGCTACAATATAAAAATAATTACTTTTACTTAATTTAAAGACAAAAGATATAGATAAACATAAATTACAACAATAATTAAAAGAACAAGAAATTTATTCTATCTAACCTCAAAATCTAGGTAAGAAATTACACTAGAAAAATAACAAAAAAAATAAAGGGGAGGACATGAAAGATGGTGGAGAATATAAAATTAGGTCTCCCAAAGGGTTCCTAAATTCTTTTTATGTGTTTTCTTAAGTCTCTTTATATAAAATTTAGATTGGATTTTGTTTCGGATTTTATTTTTTGTAATCTTCTTTATAATCATGTAATATCTTCTAATTATCTTGTAACTAAATTCAATATCTTCAAGATATATTTGGTTGCTAGGAAGATTTAAAAATATGTAAGAAGATTTTGTCAGATTGCAAAAGATTTGACAATTATTATTTTTTGATATTTTCTTATATATTTGTCTCAAAGTATCTTTTATCATAAATTGTTTTGAATTGTCAAAAACTATTTATGAAAAAAAAAACTACAAGGTTTAATTTTTTTTACTCTTCCTTCTTCCTAGCTTTGCTAAGTTCAATTTGCTTAAGCTAAACTTCTTCACTTTTTCATTCTTTTCTTGTCTTTTACATGCAATGTTTGGCTTGATTTTTTGTCGTTTTGATTAATTTTTATTATTGAATTTATCTTTAAGGTATCATGAAGCTTTAATCAATTAATTTCTACACCTTCATGACCTAAACTCAGCTACAACTACACTAATACACTTGAAAATATCCAAAGACCATTTATACAATTAAAATGTTTTTTTAACGTGTTTTTGTATCTCAAGCTCAATAAATCCAATCATAACAAATCTTAATTAAAATTATCTTTGAAAGCACAAAAACCAATTAAAAATCTAAGATTAAAGGTTAAATGAGAGCATAAAGATGCATTCATCATACCCCATACACTTATCATTTTGCATCCAAGGCAAAATTTATTAATTTCAAATGTTTATTTCGATTCAATTTTCATATCAACATTAAACCAAAGGAAAATAACTTCAGTAAAAACTATCAACTTTATAAATCAAATTGTCATTAATCATGCCAATGAAAAAACTTTATTTTAAATAAATGAGTTAATCTTTTGAATTTACCAAAAAATCAAGTTTGAAAGGAATCACAAGTTAAAATGTATAGTTTCCCACTAATGCTCTCTTAAGTGTTTAAGCTCACTCAAATTACTCATGTAGGTAAACACTCTTATAACTTAGCAAAATTCTAATATTCACACACTTTTGGAAAAAATACATTCAAAGATCATGAAAACTTTTCAAAGATTGTAATGTGACCGAGACAAAGGTAGAAAAATTTTAAGATGTAGAGGTTTAAAAATTTGGATAAAAAGAATTATAAGGAGCAAAGATTTTGGAAAAACAAATATATTATTTTCTGTGTCATTCTTGATGAAATAATTATTTTTTTTCTTTCTACATTTCGTTTTTCACTTCTTTTTTTTACTTCTCTCTCTCTTTTTCTTTCCTTTCACTTTTTTTATCATGATCTTTCATCGCATTTTATTCCTTTTTCTACTTATTATTATGGTGAGTTACTCACTCCTACCCTTTAAGTATAAGTCATTTCTAACACAACCCACTAACTTCTTTCTTCTTAAGGTGAGGAAAACATGTTTTTCTTCTTTTAAAGGTTTTGCAATGTACTTAAAACAAGAAAAAAAGATTTAGAAGAATTGTCAATAGATTATCACGGTTTTTTATCCAATAGGTAAAAACAAAAAATGTCTCAATTACTATGCATGTGTCTACTGTAAGTTGCAAATAAAAGAATCAAGTTAAATAGAAATAGCACATGGTGATCTATCCATCACAATTACGCTCAAAACTCAAGACTTAAAATTCTTTCGCAAAAGATTAAATTAAAGTATTTCTTAAATTAACTTAATTAACAATATATAACTTTGAATCAATCAAATTTTACTTCTAATCAATTCAACAATCTATTTAACAATAAACATGACTTCTATTTCAAAATTATGACATTTTGAATTACTGAATGAAATTTTAAAGACCAATGTCAATATATTTTTTATTAAAAACAAGAAAATATTTTTGGTAGATTTCTTACGAGACATTGTTTAAAAATTTCACTGATAAAATTCTAATGTAGTCAACAAACTTAAAATTCTTATCTTTCGTAAGTAGAATTTTCTCCGCTATAGTACTTTAATAAATTTTCTAAAAAAATCACATTTTTTTGGATGAAAAAAAATATATATAGAAAAAAAAACAAAAACAAAAACAAAAATCCTAACGTCTCTCTCAATTATTTCAAAAATGTGAAAATGACTGGTGCTGCGAAATATAAGTTCACTAAATTTTATTTTAATTTTGCATATTTTCTTTTCTAGTATTTTTTTTTTTTGAGCAATGAAATGCTTATTTTATTTGTAGTTGATTGTTTGACATTGCTTCTACCAAAATTGTCCGTGCAAGGTGTCCTTCTGTGAAACAATACCCTCCCATACATGACTTTTTTTCGTACAGGACACAGTTCCACTAACAGTGGGAGCGAACAACGTCAAACATCTATCATTACAGATAAGGCCAATGAAATCATGGTTCAGGAAATTTTGAAGATAGACATGCATCTACAGCTTCAGCAACAGTAAGAAAAACCCATTTCTTTCCGATTTTATCCACAAAGTTTGCCACTTTGAGCTTGTAAATCACTAGCCACCTGGGGTTCACCATGGCCAACTGCAAAAGCACACACCAAAACACTGTTCAATTATGCAGTTAAGCTGAGAAATCATTACAATATCTTATGCTCTAAGATTAAGATCAGTAGGTGTTCATGATCTTGATTAATCTTCTGATGACACGTATCCGGGTTTTTAATTTATGAAAGAGTTAATAAAATTTGATTATGTGTCAAAAATGAGATGATGATAACAATTTCTGTCAAGATGCATATTCATGACAGACTGACCTGTACGCCACGCGAAAACAACCTCTTATGCAGTTCCTCCAGTACTAGAATCCCAGAAGTATCAACATTCATGAGATCTATCAAAGACAATTGAAAAAAGATGATCACAAGGTTATAATAAATTCCATGAAATACATTATTATGGTCATTATCAATTCTGAGACTCACTGCCCATGTCTAAGATCACTGCATTGACCCTTCCCTTGGCAAGTTCGTTTTCTTCTTCCATTACCCACTTCAGTATTCTGGAAAGAATTAAATAATTTTGATTTCAAAGTTTGGTAATTAAATTTATAAAACTCTCCAAATAATGTTTTAAATTAGGTGATTGCCTTTCTCTAATAAAATTAGCATTTGCAAAGCAGAGTGAACCAGAACTTATGCGAATCACCAAAATGCCTGGAGTGCTTGTGGCCATAGGATATTGACTAACATCACAGAAAGCTTCTGTTCTTGGAACTCGGCCTAAAACTTCTATCCCTGGTCTGATTGATTGTATCAGTATCTTTGCAAAGGAGATTGAGACCTGCACAAACAAACTTCACACTCAGATACATCATCAATTATTTATCCCACTCTTCACCTTTTTACCTTAATTTGATTTAATGGATGAATAATGAAATGACCATAACTAACAAGTGTTCTAGGAAGTGATTACTGAAAAGACATAATTCTTGGTAGATAGGGGACAATAAATAATATTTGGGTGAAATATTGATTTCTTCCTGTTTATGAACTAAATTTGTCTCAACTAAATTAAAGGAGAGACATACGCTAAACAGCTCAAAATTGGTAGTGGATTTGGATTACAACTATATTTAAATATCACACTTGTCACATAAGAAATTATGATGTGAATTCTGAATTCAATCATACAAGCCAAGCATATAACGCCAAATCTGTGGACCAAAGTCTGGTCTAGAAGCCTAATAAGTAAGGAAGGTATGAGCAACACAACACTACTATCTAGGTCAAATTATTTTATGGATGGAACCCCACTAATTAGCAGTGACAACACCAAGTCTTTCACGTATTCAGAAATCATGTCACTCATTCAACTCTATTCTACGCTAGTTGCCAACTGATGTGTTTTTTGGTGTCTGCTCGAATGATTTTTTGTTTTTCTTCTAAACTTCGTAATGAAAAGAACTAGTGATGCACAGTAATTTTTTAAATGAGTCAACTACTTACTGCAACAAGAAGACCAGTTTCCACTGATACAAACAAGACTCCGAAGAAGGCACCAATGCAAGCAAGAAAGTCAAATTTGTCAACCTTCCAAATATAACAAGCTTCATTTATGTCAATTAATCCCGGAAGTGCAGAGAGAATGATAGATGCAAGTATGGCCATAGGAGTGTAGTACAGAAGCCTTGTAAACAATTCAAGACACAGAAACACAGTAACTGCCATCACAATATTTGATACTGATGTTTGACATCCTGCACTGAAATTTACTGCAGTCCTTGAGAAAGAACCTGCAAATGTTTAGTGCAAAATATGAATAAGTTTGGTGCACATATACTTCCCTGCACAGAAGTTATTCAGATTAAGACTGTGTTTGGATTAAAATTTCAAAAGGGCTTTTGTGAACTGTGCACAAAAATTGTCTCCCGAGTGAAAGTACTTTCAGACTCTTCCAATTTTAATCCAAACTTGCAATGATCAAACAATTAATCGCAACCAAGACAAAGTGTCACCAGTTGCCACATAGCATGAAGAGAGAGATCCCGCAATGTTCATGCATCCCATTGCCAACATTTCTTTGTTGCCATCAAGATGGTATCCCTTAATGGAAGCAAAAGATCTACCAACTGCTATTGCTTCCTGAATTTGACGAATATATACATCAGTAAGACTGTGCTTAAGAGTTGGGGAAAAGAAAAATCATTTTAAAAAGATAAAAGAGCAAATAATGCAACATACAGTGAGAGCAATAACGGCAGAAATCAATCCAATTTTAGCTGTTTGTCCAACATTTGGACCATGAAATTGTAACTTGTGAACTGAACTTGGGTTCAAGCCTCCTTTGACATGCCTTACTATATTAACCCCATTCTGATCAGCTTTTGACAAATAAACAATTAAAGTTGATAGTAAAACCGACACAAGAGGAGCAATAGCTGGCAACCAGAAAAGTTTTTTGTTTCTTCTGCCCTGAAATGACATACACATTGGAACCTCAAATCAAACAGAGAAAATATAGTGGTGGAATAGGAATGTCAGAAATTTCATTACTTACAACAAATCGAGCTATTAACAGGAATATCAGGAATGAACACCCGATGACAAAATTCAGAGGGTACCACTGTCAATGTAAAAAGCAAATAATAATGTCAAATATCATGATAAGTTGTTCCATTCAAAAATTTAAAATTTATCACCCCATCATTAGTTTTTTTTTTTCTTTTTCTCTAAGTCATTAATGAAATGATTTATTTCCCTATACTGAAACTAATAACCAAGTTCTCCATACTAACTTTTTCTGTTGATGTTATCTGTTGGCGGAGTGACTTGTATACAGACTCCAACACGGATATTACATCAGTTTTGTTGGTAAAGTGAGTAATCCCCAGCAACCCCTTCAGCTGCTGCAGACCAATAACGATGGCTGCGCCTGCCATGAATCCAACAAGTGCAGCATGTGAAAGAAAATCCACAAGAAACCCCAACCTGCAGATTTGAAGAATAAACTGCTTACTTTTTAAGGAAACCTACACATTCACAAGAAATCTGCAAACGGATGGGGAAACCACCTGAAAATACCGAATGCAGCTTGAAAGATTCCAGCAAATAAGGTCACGGTAAAGACAACACTCCTGTAGGCATCAGGATCAGCAGCAGGATCTACCACTTTGGGGACTAGGGAGGACAGAAGCAATGATACTACAGCTACAGGTCCAATGGCTATTTCTCTTGAACTCCCCATCACAGCATAGATAAGAGGAGGAACAACACTGGTGTCTGAATGTAGTGAAAAGAAATAAAATTTAAAACACGATACATCTGTATAGTATATAGTATATCATAATAAACATAACTAAAGTTAGAGACCTACACAAGCCATACTGAGGATCAAGCTTCGCCAAATTAGCATATCCTATACTCTGCAACACCAAATGATAAAAGTGATGAGAAAAAGGCTGAGAGGAATGTAATGGTATACAACTGATGCATTGCCATGAGATTAGAAGCAATGTTTGTGAATTTACACCTGCGGTATGCTGAGGCTAGCAAGAGTTAAACCGGCTAGCAAATCATTTTTAAACTTTGAGGCTGTGTAACTTTTGAACCAGCAAAGGATGGGAAACAAAGTCTCTAAGAATGAAAGAAGACGTCGATGGCAAGGCTTGTTATTGGATGAGAAAGAGGAGATGGATTTCTTGAGTGGAGTGAATAGCTTGTTCCTTAGAGGTGGTGGATTGGGAGGTTCCAGAACCCAAAGGGACCTCTCTATTTGGCCAGAATCTTCAAGATGAAAGTGTTCCTGCTGGCTGAGTCTCGTACTGGGAGTTGAACTCATGGTTGTTTGAAGTGTGTGATGGAACTCTGCTACACTTGCTCTTCTTATAGTGCATTAATGCAAGTTCAACACCTTGGTATCTATGTGGCTGGTGTTTTATTTGGATGATTGCGTGAAAGGAGTTGCAGGAAGTACTGATTTAAGGCTGAGCTAGATGAGATGTTAGTTGTGGCACCACTTTGATTGGCTAATCTCAAAAGTTGAGAATGTCTGACGATGAGTATGAGTCCTCTCTCGACAAGACTATTCTCATTTATAATTCTCACGCCACTTTTTCACCACTTTCTTTGTCATCTTACGTTTCTTTTTATTTTATTTTTTTTCTTTGCAAAAATAGAAAATTTTTACCCATCCCTTTTTGCTCTCTGTGAAACTCCATGCCGCTAATCCACCAATCACCTACTGTGAGAAAATAAAAGTTAGAGTTCAACGTGCATGAATTCACCAAAGCAGATGCATTGATAGAGTTGGTTTGGAAATTCATTTACCGTATGCTAAATTCGGGTTTTGCGTTTTCATATTTACTTCCTCGTTGTTTACGAAGAAGCTACTATATATAAGTGGAAAATAATTTTTGCTTTCTAGTTATGCAAATTGATTCTGTAGAATTATATTATAATTAAATAAAATTTCTAAAATGTATCAGAGTTTACCATATTAACTATTATTAAATTTATCGCATCATTAGTTAAGTCAATGTATTAAAGATCACAGTTAACTATCAAAAAATTTTATACATATGTATATAAAAGGTAGAAGTAATTCTATTCCACCATACTGATTGTATAATATTAATTGATATCCAAATATAATTATAAAACGTTAGAATTCACACCATTAGAGAGCACGGCTTATTTCAACTGATTCGTACAAACATATTATTAGTGCTCCATTCATAATGTACTATTGTCTTTTTGTTATTTTGTTTCTTTTATTTCAATTGGGTTTATTTTATTCCTTAAGAAATCCGAGTGCATAGTTATACTTGTAGCTCTGGCTATTTTCTCGTGTTCAAAACGCAGTCTTGTTTTCTACGAAATACTAACAAACCAAATCATCAAATTTAACTCCAAAAAAAACTTTCATGTTTTTCAACACTCAATTATCGCGTTTCATGGAATTCTTCGAGTTTTTTCGAGTGTTAACTTAATTTCTTATTTCTAAAATTTCAAATAATTTTACGTCTTAAATATATATTAAACTAAAAAAATAATTTGATGGTTTAAAGTAAAAGAAAATAAGTAAATAGCAATGTTTTCTCAAGTTTAGATATATAGAAGTTTAATTTATTCAAATCATTTGAGACTAAAATACGTGAAACTTAAATTAAAATGACCTTTTTAAGTTCATCTTTTTCTTCCTATAGTAGGTCATTTCCACTTATGGGTAACACCACAAAAATTACATGAGTTTTTTCCCGAAAAAGGAGAAAGCTTTAGATTAGTAAACCGATGTGAAAAAGAAGGAGGTATCACATCGCCAAAATTGTATTGGTTATAAAAAAAGAGAAGAAAGTTTTAGCCAAGGAGGAGGTATCAGACTTCCTCGTCTATATGAAACCATATAAAGCCCTTGAGCAATGTGGCTATCAACCAAATGTATTCAAACAATATATAGATTGGAAATGATGTTTGATAACTTGTGTGGTAGATGTATACATTTGGTTCGTTTAGTCAGTCCCTTGCGACCACTTTGATTGAATTGATACCAAAGATGATCATTCAAGTAATTTTTTTATATGTTTGTCTAATTTTATCTGAGACACTCAAAATTAAAAAGGTTCATATTTTAAAATGTATTTAATTTAACTTTATTATGAATATGAAGATGTTAAACAAAATTCATTTTTAATATTAGTTTAATTTCTATAAGTTTGACTAATACTAATGACAACATCTTCAAAAAAACTACACAATACTTCCATGTTCAATAATATAAATGAAAAAGATAGAAAAGAAGTTATAATAGATGGAGATAAGTATAGATGAGAGAAATTAATGTGATAAAGGAAATGAATGTGTATAAAAGAAATAAGTATGAATGAAGATGATGAAAAACATATGGATAAATGAGATGGAGAAAAAAAATGTATATAAAGAAGATGTGGGTAGGTGAAAATGATGAGTGTAAACCAAGAAGATAAATGTGAGCAAAGGAGGTGAGTGTGAATGAAAAAGAAAAATGTGAGAATATTTATGAATGTAAATGAAAAAGATGAATGTGATTAGATTTATATAGAAAGTGAGAAAAAATTGTGAATGTAGAAATTTGTCGTTTTTAAATCTAGAAAGAAAATCTTAACTAGATTGTATTTATCTAAAATCGTCCTACAATATGACAATAAGTTGATTATTTGACTAAATTGAGGTCTTTAAATTTAATCAACACTTTAGGAAACTAGATAATTGTATCCATCATTTAATCTTTATAAGAGCTTAACAATATAATTGCTTTTCTTAGTGCCATCTAAAAATAATAATGCTTGAATAATAATTTATTACTTTACAAAATATTGACTTTGTTTCTCATATGTTCTTATTTATTGAGGTGTGTCAATTTTTATTTAGGTATTCATCTATCAAATCTAATATGTGTTTATTCTTCAAGCGGTCAAAATGTTTTTACTTTCTTTTCTTCGACACACCCAAGGTCTTCTATGTCAGAAAGATTGGAGGTACTTGTAAAGACACCTCCAATGAATACATACTTCATGAATAATATCCTTTTATACTATTTTCATGAACTATTAGGTTAGTTGGCCTACACTCAAGGCAATAACTAGATTAGATGAGTTTCAAATATTTTAATCTCTTATATGTCATTTAATATGTGGTGCGTTCTCTAGTTATTAGAAAGGCAATGTCATCTCGTACTAATGACATTATTTAGACTCTCTCGAATACAATATGTATCATCTATTATTAACATTGTATTTGAAAATAATATGTTATTTACTATTATAAAAACTAAAATAAAAAATTCATTTTAAAATATGAGAAAATTCAAAAACATCATAAATATTCTTAGTAATTCTTTTAAGAAATATTTTATCGAATGTTATCCCACGTTACCAAATCAAAACATCATTTCTAAGTACATGTCTATAGAAATAACACTAATGTACTCTATTGAGAAATTACAAGTTTAACTCCTCAAGTCAAATAAAAGAATACATAATATAGAAAAACAATATAATGAAATATAATTTAATAAATTTTATTATCTTTCTCTAACTTAAATCATGAGTACTAGTTAAAACACTTTTAATAAGAATTTATTAAACTATAAAATGATTTTTTAAAATAGTTATAAAAAAATAATTTGTATATTTTATTATAAATAATTAGTTAAATTAAAAAAAAAGTCAATAAGGGATAAAAAAATTATTATGAGTAGTTATTTGAATTTTAAAAAAGTGGTTATTAAAGGATAAAATTGAAAAAGAAAATGTGAACACCATATGAATACTATTTATATACAATAATATATCTTTATATATAATAATATATAGAAGTATAAATAGTATAGATTATGAAAGGAAACAATATTACTAATTATCAATTATGGTTGCACTAGCTTTGAGTTTTGGATCCAATCTCATTTCTTGTATATTTTTCAATGGAAGGAAATATAATAATTGGTCGGTTGTAACTCATCCTTACAATAATTTAACTAATTTTTATAAACTTATATTTGTTAATAATAAGGATGCAATATTTAAAAATATCTCTTTGATTTACATAATCATTATTGTCAAAGTGTCATATTATACTATATGTATGTGTGTGTATTATTGGTGGCGGGTCAACAAGGGATTCATATTAAAATAATTTTTGGAAGTAACATTAGTTAGTTTTTAAAACGACGAAACGAAAACCGATTATATGATATGCTTGTGACAAATAAAATGCTAATTTAATATTGTCGGTAAATATATTATTTTGATATAATTAAAATTTAAAAAAAAAATAGCATCATGTTTGTGAGGTTCATTAGATATGCAAGAATGGTTGGCTAGGCATTGAGGAGAGGGAAAAACAATTAATTAAAATGCAACAGATTGAAATAAGGGGACAATAGGAAGGAAGAAAGGTCTTCTTTTTATATTAAGCATTTTGCCTCATGCTTTGGAATAAAAAGAAATAAAAGCAGAGATTCCTTCGTAAAATGACAAAGTTCTTACTTTTTTTAGAGGATAAAAGATTTTTGGTTTTTTTTCATTTCCATTATACGTCTCAAACCAAGTTGCATAAATGTATATATTTTTATATTTAATTATTTCTCTAAAGCCAGCAATCTATTTTAAAAAGGAAACTATAACTATATTTATTAACAAACAATTAAAAAATCTTATTACTTCTACCCAAAAAATAATATAAGTCTATCTTTTCTATATTAGAAACCGCGTTCATCATTTTATTCCACACTGTAAATATTCTATCATCGTTAATTAAATAATATAAAGCTTACCTCTAAAAAGATAATAATTTTATTAACTAGTATAAAAACGATAATAATCTGGATTCAAGCCTCATCATTACCATTGTAAAACAATATTAGA